CACACACACACACACACACACACACACACACATACGCACACACACACACATGCACACACATTTGATGTTTTGACACAGTTAACACACAGCTCACCAACCATGGCCTCAGTGGCTCTGCATGGAAGATTTCACAGTAAAAGTCATAGACATCAAAATTTTGTGAGAGAATAAAAACAAAAAGTAACATTTCGTTCCAAACTAGTGTTTGCAAATACAGCTAGCTGGTAATAACACCAAGAATAATCACAACAACAATTTACACTGATGATGGTTAAACTAGCTGTAATATTGCATGGAAATTAAGTGAAACGTTACATTAGCCCAAGGTTAATTGCGTTTGATCTTTATTAAAATAAATCTTTTCTAGCACATTAATATATCAAAATAGTTTTTTTTTGTAAAGGTTCATTGTTGTTGTTATTATCGTTCTGTTATTACTGTGTTGTTGTTTTTTTCTTTTGTTCTCAGTGAGGCTAAATAACAGTGAACATTGAGGGAGAGTTGAAAATTTCTGTCTGACTCTTGTTGAACTTCTTCACGATCAGCTTCCTCTCCCTTTCTGTTCCCCTCCCTCTACACAGGAGTGGTCTTCCTGTTCAAGGTGTTGGAGTTGCTCTCCCTGTCTCCCTTCAACCTGTCCAAAGTCCCCATGCCTCGCTCCCTGTCCACTGAGGATGACGTGAATGGCGGAGGCCCGGAGCCCACAGAGTTGGCCATGGGTGCGTTAGAGTTGGAAGAGTTGGAAGGGTTGTGGGACTTGAGGGAGGGCAGCGTTCCGCTCATCATCACCCCTCCTCCACCACCATCCTTGGGGAAGCAGTTGTGAAGCTGGTAGAGCGTGGCCCTGTCCACAGTTCCGTACATGGGCGGCAACCCCCCCAATTTGGGGTCACGGGACAGCGTGTAGAGTGAGATGTCGCCTCCGGCCAAGGCCGTGTGGGAGCGGGAGTGAGGGTTGGGCAGGGTGGACACCGAAATGGGGCCTTGGGAGAGCAGTGCTGAGGGGGGCAGGCCAAAGTTCTTCCCCCCACCGCCAACGGGTGAAGGGTCACGGGAGCGGGAAGGGTCAGTCGAGCGCGAGGAGGAGCGGGAGCGACGGCGAAAGCGGTAGCTGGGCAGGCGGAGCATGGCGTGTGTGGTGCTCTTGAAGATGTCGGTGCGGGAGCGGCAGCGGAGCTCCTTGTTTTTTTCGATGTAGATGTTGACAGCCAGCACCCCCACCATCTCAGCCATGATGAAGGACAGACCTCCAAAGTAAAAGGACCACCCGTAGGAATACTGCCATTTCTTATCCTCGTCTTTCTTTGGTGAAATGTCCCCCAGTGCAGCCGAGATGTAGACGATCACACCGATAATGTTACTCAGACCTGTGGCGCAGCAGAAAAAAAACAAAGTCCTGAGGATTCTTTCAAAGATCAGTTCAGAAAGGAAAGTGGAAGAATTAGAAGTTCCTGCACCTGACAGAAAAGTAAAGAGTCAAAAAGAAAATATCAAGTCTTAATAAAACTTCCCAGGTCATATTTCACCAGGTGAAAAGAGACACAATTTTTTTCTTAATTTTTGAAATTATCATGTCTGCATTGAAAATAAATATTTTTTATGTTTATTCGCTCATATTTATAGGGATTTTTGTAAAATTGCAACATTTTGCTGCAAATTTTATTGCTTAGCTTTTCTCTAACAGCTCAAGATTTTCAACTTTTAATAAATACAAACAAACTTGTGTTTAACTTGTGTTTATCTAAATGTTTTTTTCTGATGAAACAAGACAAGCAACTATACAAAGTGACACTAAAAAATTGTATTATTACTTTTAAATACAGATTAAGAAATATCTGTTGAGCTAAATAAATTATAATAACTGCAAATAGTTTTTTCTTTATGTATTTTCTGTAATTGATAATATTCATATTTATTTGTGCTTATTTTGTTTTTACATTTTATATAATGTCAGTAAATTTGTTATTTATTTATTCACATAACCTGGTAAATCACACTGAGTTCAAGATCTCTTTCTCAAGGGAGGCCTGGGCCTCAAGGCTTCCTATGAAGGTTTCTGGACTGTGGAAGGAAACTGAAGCACCCAGAGAAACCCCAGGGAATGAACCAAGGACCTTCTTGTTGTGCAGCAACATCACTAAAAACTAAACTCTTTAATTTAGTTTTTTGTCGTATTTTTTTAATTTATGAGATTTAATAGAAGCATCACAGAGTTTTCTAATTGCATCTGCTCTTGCTTCTTTTTAAAATTATTGTATTTTTATTGTCATCATTCTGCAGATTTTGTGTTTTCAGGTTTTGTTTGTTGCTGTTGTTTATTTTGTCACATTTTTCATTTTTGCTTTAGATACAAAATGTGTTCTGTATGTTTTCAGTTTACACTGTCCTCCATATGTTATTTGGTTTTCAGCTCCTCTCACACCTGAAATTCTTTTGTTCATTAAGTCTGGTTCCGCCCAGCTCACCTCAAGTCATTTTCTTCATAGACTTTCTGCCTCCTGCTTCCTGTACACTGTAATGTTTTAGTTAATTTATTTTTTGTTGCCGATGTCGTTTCATCGGATCTGCGGCCGTATGTCTTGGACACTCGGGTGAAGAGAGGGGCGGAGCTGTCAACTGACCACTACCTGGTGGTGAGTTGGCTCCGATGGTGGGGGAGGAAGCCGGTCAGACCTGGCAGGCCCAAACGTGTAGTGAGGGTCTGCTGGGAATGTCTGGCTGAGTCCCCTGTGAGACGGAGTTTCAACTCCCATCTCCGGCAGAACTTCGAACTCGTTCTGGCGGAGGCGGGGGACATTGAATCTGAATGGACCATGTTCCGTGCCTCCATTGGTG